GATAATCTTAGTTTTCTTGTGCCCAATAATGCATAATTTCATTTGATAAACACGTTTAGATTGAATGGTAATTTATAATCAGTCACAAGAACGTCGAATCTGAATCACTTGAAAAAACACGGGGGTGCTTAACTTTTTTCCAGGTGTATATATGGAGTCCAGAGACTGACTTTTAACCCTTGAATAGTTCCAAACAAATGCAAATCAAGATAAGGTAGGGGATATAGTGAAAAGAAGACTGTTTCTTCTGTACTGACAGGCCAGAAAACCATTGAAGGGGACACACATTTGCACATCTACAAGGAACGAGTGATTAAGAGAAAAAAGTCCACCAAAAAGGCTTAAACAGGAAATGAACAAGAAAAAGACTAAGCTTGCCCCATGTACAAAGTAAGAAAGACACCAAGGTGAATGAAATACAAGATGGGAGTTGAGACTGTAATGAAGAGACAAAACCAGCCACCCTCAATTGAAAGACTCCTGAAGGAGAAAGAAGGTCACAACAGCAGAAGCTACATTGGAAGTGGCAAGTAGAGGCCAAATGTCCATACAGTAATGGAACAACAGGTGTCAATAATATAACCCACCAGATCCAATAAAAATTATGGGGCTGTAGCAATGCCAAGGGAATGAATGAGAACCAAATGTTCAACCACTGCAAATGAATCACAGAAAGCAAAAGGTGGGCAGATAAACTGGGATGTGGAGAAAGTGTCTGAAACCCTGAATCAGGTCATCCACCACTGGAGGGAGTATTCACCAGAGAGAGCAAAAAACTACCCACATACAGGGGTAGGAGATTTGTTAAAGGCTTGTAACCCACAATGTAATTTACACGGCAGTGCATGTGAGGTAATTGCTCTTTGTGGTGCAGAAAAGGGAGCAGTGCTTCTTAAAATTTTTATCATGATGCTTAACAGATATTTTTGATTAAATGGCAAGCCTCTCATTCAAATATTTAGTTCCCTTTTACACAAGTAGATTATTATAAACTTAGTCAGAAAAGTACCTATTGTAAATAATATATACTGATCACAGTATCTGAAAATTAACCCAACATTCAATTATTTGGTACCTAGCATATGGATACAAACAATATCAATGTTTAATACCTGTGCTTTTGAATAGAAAACTGTACCTTTCATCATTATATTTGTTTGTTCATAATATTTTGTACTCATAGTATAAATGTTATCAGCATTGTAACATTTCTTGAAAAACTAACAAGCAAGATATGTCTTTGTGACTAAAATGTTCTTACATGTTCAATTAAATACCCAAACTGTGTGATATCTACAAAATGTATAAGACTGTAAACTCATATCTGTATTTATTCAGGTTATTGCTAAAAACAATTACAAAGCAATTACAAGTAATCACAATTATTACAGAAATGAAAATAAATAAAAGGTTTGGTTTACTGTTTTTAATTTTGTAGTCATTTAATTTGATATAAAACATATATTTTAACATTTAAAATAACTTTTAGTATTAACATTACTTTGCAACTGAGATAGATTTTTACATTTGCTTTCTGTTTTTATAACTGAATATATCTGTATTTTGCAACTGCAGTCGCATTTAATATATATAAATTGTTCCATAAAGTATTTAACAGATATGATCAAAATGCAAAAACTATGAACTTTCAATAATTATTTTTTCATTTTTAAAGTTATAATAAAACTATTCTGCTACATATTAGAAATAAAGTTAATAATACCAACTATAACCAAATTAAAAACCAGGTATTCCAAGGTTAGTATAATTTGAAGCTTCTTAAACTACAAAAATTATCTAAACACAACTTGCTAACATACAGGTAGTCCTCCATTCGCTTTTGATTTTGGATTGAAACCTCTTTCAAATGAGAAAGGTCTGCTTCCATTGATGACAAAGACATTTGAAGCTCAAAACATTCATTACGCTGTTCAGAGAGCTGAGTAATCATTTCAGTGTTTTTTAATTTTTCTGCTTCCAAGGAGGAGCGCAAGTCATTACCTACAGCCTTCTCCTGCTTTGCCTGAAACTCCAAGAGCTCTTCTATCAGAGTAAGAAAAATATTTTTAAAGAGTTGATTCATTAATTTGAAATCCACATTTTTTATACCTTTTTGACCACTAGTGCTTTTTAAGCAGTTCTGTATATTGTAGTTTATCAAAACATATTTTTAAAATCATACTATTTAAACTAATTTTTATAAAAGTATAAACTGCTACAATTATTTATTACCTTATCCATTTACACAAATTAACAAGAGCTAGGCTCAAGACAGGTAATTCTTGTGTGTATGTGAACATATAAAATAAATTAAAAATATAAACATACATAACTACAATGTAAATCGTTCAGAATCTGTGAAAAAGGAATTACAGTTGAACAATAAAAAAAGAGAGATTTACTTACAATGAAAATCAGTAATAGTTACTTAATATGTAAGTAACTGGACATTTAACAGAAATTAAGTGATGAAATTCAATAAATAAATACATCTTTACAGTACTAAAGAGCCAAGCAAACTGTGCCAAGAGATCCCAAGATTAGACATTACATCCAGTGCTTGATTTTAGTGCATAAATTCTCGTGATCCCCATACTTCCTTTGGTCATGAGGTGAGTACATACAAAAAAAAAAAGATCAGTACTGAATAAAAGTGGTCATTTAAAGCAACTGCTAGGGGAATAAAAAAAAAAATCAACAATTTTACATTGATACAAATGGGATAAATGTATTTGAATGCACTGTGTTTTTTTCAAAATAACATTAAAATTGATTCTTAGTAGTCAGACAAACAAATTAATTGATGTATCTTGAAAATGACATACTAGAATAAAAAGGACTACAAAGTTTAGTTTTGAAAATAATAATAATGCCACAATTTAAAGTTCATCATTTTCTTGAAAATGCCGACAGTAGTGTTTCTTTTAAACTGAAAAGTATAGAATCTCCCAAAAGTGAAAACACAGTATAAGCTATAATATAACTAAGTTTTAATTTGCATTTATAAGCACTGCCTATAATGCATAAACATTTCACATAATTTACAGCCTGTGAGATATACAGTAAGACCTTATATAGTTGAAGTAGTTTGAGTTGTTAAAAAAGTTCCTTACCAACAAGCATCAGGGGCCTAGCCTTTTAGCTCTGTTGACAGAGCACATGCTTGTTGAGTGACAGGTGTCATGTTCAAATTTGAAATGAGGAAGTGTATATAGCATGAAAAAATAAAATACTGCATTGATGTCCAACTACTGGCCCTCCCACATACCTGAAGTTAAGCCTGAGGATGGGTTTTGTTTGTGACAGAGGAAGAATGTAATAGTTCGACTAGGTAAAAATGCCTTACTCGCAAGCACTATGGGATTAGCCCTTCAGCTCAGTTGGTAAAGTACTTGTCTTACATGTCTCAGGTTCAAATCTAAGGCAACGAATACATTGTGAAAAAATTTCACATTGTAAGTTTTATATCAGTTTACTACCTAAAGCCTAACAAAGTTAAAATAAGAATACAAATACTTTTTTTTAATCAAATAATGAGAGTGGAAGGCTTTATTTTATTTAGAGGCACTTAAAACCAAGGCTATATAAAGAAACAGAAAGACAAAAACAGTAAGATGGCTCTTGTAGTTTAAAATAAAAACAACATTCAAATAAACTTTTAGATTTTGAGAATTAAAATGAATTTCAAACAGATGCTTATTTCTGAAATACAAAAAGCTTTCCTCTCAATCTGTCAATAAAAATTACTAAATTTCTAAATGTCCTTGATAAAATACAGAGCATATGTCAACGTATTCATAGTTTTCCACTCTCTCACTTTCCACGTGATTTATTGTGGTTGCATCTAAAGGATGCATACAAGCTCTGCTTCTCCACAATAATCAAGATTTCATAGTTGCATTTGTAATGGAAACCACATCTTTCTCTCAGTTGTAAGAAGTTGGGTGGGAATGTATTTTCATGGTAGGTAGCTGTTTAAAATTTATTTTAATTCTAAAAACTTAAAACTGAAAATGAGCAGACTTACCTTTGAAGTATGAAAAGCCAGAATACCTACACTGAGATGGAGAAAGGAAAAAGAGAGAGTTAGAAGAACGAGTGAATCATCAAAACGTTAGGTTCTTAGGAAGAAAAGTGACAATCTAGATCATAAAAAAATCAAAATGTCATAGAGATGAAAGGAATCCAGAACCAGAGTTGATTCAATGGACTGGATCATTGGAAAATAAGTAAAGCAGACCAGTATCATAAGAGAGTGGACCAAATGAGGATACTCAGAAAGTGCATATTCTCAGCAGAGTACCTCCTGACCCTCACTGACTTTTAAACATGTATACAAAGGAAAAGTCAGGTGGTATTTACTTACTTGTGGAACTATTACAAGTAGCACAACAGGTAATCAGGGTCAGATCACAATGTGCTGTCCTGTACCTGTTATGAAAGATTCTTAAAGGAGTAAATGAGTTATTGTTAATGACTAGACATGCTCTTAAAGATAAGGGCCCAAACATTTACATCTGGCAAGATTTGCCAAGTCAGTAGGCACTTAGGGAGAGTACAAATGATCCAGGTAAACCCGAGGATGAGCTCTACAACTCGAGGACAATGCAATTGGAACACCAAATAGGTTAAGAAAGGTAAACATAAAGCAGCAAGATGTTCTCCATCATAGTTGGAAGTATGAGACATCACTTACCTCAATTGTCTTGAGGTTGAAAAGGTAAATACCAAGGAATTATTAGTCACCAGACTTCAAGAGAGTTAAATTTTGCCTAAAGGTATAAGTAGCACGTGAGAGTCTCTACTGGATGAATTTATTCAGATATAGAGTCTAATATTATATTTTGTTTTACAGTGAGTTTTCATGCACAATAGAACTGTAGACCTAAATGTTAATTAATAATGTAAAAAAGAGTAACTTACTGGCTGGAGATTCCATCTGGCTTAAAAAATTGCAACCAGAGACAAAATGATGTAAATAAGATTTTAAGAATATATTTAAATTTCTCCACATTTGAACTCTAAAGGGTATTGTGACTATAACACTACTGACATCACAAAATGACGAATTTTGGTGAGATTTAACACAAAATTCACTTTTAAGATCATCCCAGTATATAATATCAGGATGCTGCACAAGATAATTTTTTAAGGTAACTGAAGCAACATCCAAAGAGCATAATTAATTGTAAATTCTGAACAATCTTTTCTTAGTAAGGTAAAAAAACAACAGTGGTTACCTTTTCTTGCCACCCATGTTGAGAAACTTGATATGAATAGGGAAAACCATGGCTGAGAAGGTCGAAACTGAGCAACTTAGAACTACGAGTAACTGATCTTGGCCAGGATTGGAGAGAGAAAAAAAAAGAGCAGAGGATATGTGTGATAGAGAGGTTCTCCCAAGACTGACTTAGGGCATTCACTGGCAGAGAATTTGGAATATGAAGCTGGAGACCAGAAGAAAGGAAGAAGATGGTTGGTCAATGTAGTAAAAGCACTGATTACTGAATGACCAGACATTTGGCTATCCACTAAAAATCAAAGGGTGAAGAGTTCACTGTGTGTGTGTGTGAAGAAGGCAATAACCTTGGGAAAGAGTTTAACATAATGTTCATCACACCAGGAACTTAAGTTTCAAAAGGGAATCTACTGAAAATGAAGCCAAAACAGTAGAGAAAAATTGCAAAAAACAAAGGCTGCTAGAAAAACTAGTTCTTTGATTGTTGATATAAGTTACCATTCCATGGTAGAGTTGTCTGTGTGAACTATCATACAATGGTGTTGAAGAAAGAGAAGAAACTCAAACACTGAATAGCCCAAACTTCTTAACATTCATGTGAGAAGTTGCTTTTTAAAATATTTCAAAAACCAGAGCAATGTTGATACCCCAACATAAAGGTCAAAAGGAAGAGGAAAAAAAGGGTATCCTGTTGTTATGATATTTGTTCTGAATTCAGACACGAATGAGAAGCAAGGTCACATTGAATGTGATGCATGTAAGTGCATCCCAAAGGAATGACTTCTAGAAGTGAGTAAACTGTCCCCAAAGCAGAAAAGATGTCTTTACAAACAGGTGTGGAAGACAGAAGAGATTCCAAGGCTTTCAACACCATAAGATATGGCTAAAATGTTCCTTGAAATGTGTTGATTCACAATCTTAGATGTAAGTATCAAAAACTGTGTTAGTACTAAAAGGGATTTAGAGTTGTGGATGATCCACTCAATAGATATAGCCAGATGGGTGGTCAAATGAGTGTGTCAGAGACTTAATAGAAAAAAAGAGATAGAATAAGTCCTTCATCCTTGTAAAAGTGAAATTCGATGTTAAAGTACTGGAGAGGTCGAGCAAATACTTTGACTACTCAACAGATAAAATATGGAGTTGAGGCCATGACAAAAAGAAGGGCAATTAACTGATACTCTTTCCTCCTCAATGAGAAAAATGAAAAACATTCACAATGATGAATTAACCAAGTAAAGATTGAGTTCAGAAAAGTCTGTGACAGGTCTCCAATCTCACATTTTTTTTGAACTATAAATAGACGAAAGCAAAAACCTGATGAAGCATGATCAAAATTTTTACTGCTCCTTTCAGAATGAGATCTGAGACTTCCTGATACAGAAGCTGTAACTAAATAGGATTGGAAGAAAAAAGGAAAAAACAGAAAAAAACTGAAGGATTTGTCAAAACTAAGGATTTAAGCTAATGTTTCTCATACATAAATAAATGACCTAAGATGATCTCCCAAAAGTCAGATGTAGGAGTCATCCAGAATAAATTATCTATAATGATATTCAAATTCTAAGTTGTAAATAAAAGAAGTATAAAATATAAAATAGAACAAATCTGAGAGAAAAATGACCAGCAGAAGATTATTCAGGGTTAAGGCAACCGACAAATCCCACTCTGCATACATTTAAAGCAAGTAGACTTGAGCAACATTGTTTGTAATTAAGCACAATGCTACAAAATTGGCTATCTGCACTCTGCCCACCACAGGTATTGAAAACTGGTTTCTAGCATTTTAAGTCCACAGACATAC